ATTAAGGATCACAATGTCCCCATATACTCATCCATCGAAGTCCATTCAATCATATAAGTTATATGAACCATTTAATTTTAAATGGGTTGGATGGAAACTACACCGTTTAAACGGGGTAGTTTATTACGCGATGGAACCCACCGTTACGTTTGCGACCTAAGTTGATAAAGCTCTATTTGTGATTGAAGTTTTAAGAAAATCGATTGAAGATTAGATAGAGTTCTATTACTAACGGATCTTATGGCCACGACTGTAAATCGAATCACATAAGCATGTTTTGTTCATTAGGTGTCATCAAGTCAAGCTATTCAAGCGCCTTGACCCCGAACAGCAATACGTTTTTGCGTCCAGGCGGCTCAGCAGTCACGTACTACTTTGTAGTCAATCAAGTGACGGCTTCAACTAGTGACAGTTACACGTTTGTGGCCGATATTGGTATCGACACCTATGATTGTCTCAACCGGAGTAATCCATCTTCGAAATTAATTGCGTGTAACGATAACGGCGCCTCGGGACGGAATTTTATGCTTGAAACATTAATGGCAGGTCAAACCGTGATTCTGGTTGTTACAACATTCAGCGCTTTAGAAACAGCACCATTCAACGTTACAGTCTACGGTCCCGGTTCTGTGACTTTTACAGGTATGTTTAGAAGAAAAGGCACACTCTGAACTCACTTGTCATTACGATCTTCCGGTTACATAGTTCGTTACGAACTCCGAAGATAAGAAAAACGACAGTGTATTCAGAATAATAAAAATCAATCAAAATTTTTAAAAATGCAGGGTGTTCGTAATGAAAGTTGTCCAGAAGATCGTAACGAACAGCGACAGTTGATTTTTATAGATTAAACCCTGAAATTTGACTCGAGTTTGGAATGACGATGACCGAAAGATCGTAACAATAAAAATAGGAAGAGCATAATGAAAAAAGCCAGGGAATTTGAAACTGTCTTAATGTTTTCTTTTCTTTGAGAGATGTTAAGTGGCTCACTAGTTTTTATTCTAAGATGATACACAAATGACGGCCTGATGAACAGAATACTTCTTTTTTGATACAAAGAAAAAAAGAACTTAGATGAAGAGATGTTAAGTGACTTTTAAGACTACTTTTAAGAGACTTCAAGATTTCGTGAGGCTTTAAGGGAGTTCATAAGATTTCAAGAGACTTCAAAAGACTTCATAAGACTTCGTGGCCATAAGATCCGTTAGTAATAGAACTCTATCTAATCTTCAATCGATTTTCTTAAAACTTGAAAAAAGAAATGTAAGAAAAACACAGAAAAAACAATTTCGCTTAAACTTTTGTCTTTGACTGTATATGCATAAATTGTATTTTGATTTTAAATGAGCGTCTTTTCTTTCAGGGATAACCATGGCGATCGCGCTGAAATCTATGTCTGATGGTAAATTCGTAACAGCAGAGGACGCTGGCAATGGACCTTTGATCGCACGAGGGGATGTAATCAATGGATGGGAAAGATTTGAACTAATTCGTCTAGACGGCGGTAAAATAGCTTTATAAGCATTTATTAACAATATGTACGTAACAGCAGAAAATTCAAGAGCCAGCCCACTGATTGCCAACCGGTCGGACATTGGACGATGGGAGACGTTTGAAATGTTGTCCTCCGATGATGTTAAAGCAAGGTTCCGATCAATGGCCAATAATCGCTTTGTGTGTGCCGAAAATCATGGAAAGGAATGACTGACAGCCAGTCGGGAAGCGAGCGGCCTTTCAGAAGAATTCGAAATACATAAACTATGAATGAAGACATCGATTGAACTTCGCTTTTCTCTACGTTTTTAGATTCAAAGTGTTAGGAAGCTGCGGGTTCACGTTTTTTTTGGACTCGGAAACAGACCCGGCCTAGTCCGGGCCCAGGTCTGGACAAACTCGCAGCCTCCTATAGAATATTCATCTTTTTCATAAAGTTTTATCTATTTTATTTACTAATGCGTAAGAAATTCTACTTAACACATACTTTCATTTCAAAATAGAATGCCATCAACTTTTATCCCATAAAGTGGCAAATCTCACATTGGTAATAATTTTAACTCCTGTATCAGTGTCCGGGTTTAAGTGTACATGTGTCAAATTACTCTGACCTGACCCAATCCGAACCTTGAGAAGATGAGCGTGTATGTTTTTGAATCGAAAGAGAAAGCAATGAATTGAATCCTTAGAACGATAATCTGTTGTCATTTTACTTGTCTACAGTCGGACTAAAGAAAAAAATTTCCAAGCAAGTTTATTTTGTTGACTTTTTTTAGTCAAACCGTACAATGCTAGCGCAATCAGCCCGTATGTATATCTTTCTGTTTTCGAAATTTTCGAAACTTGATCTGAATAACCCGCAACTATTTCAGGTTGGAGTTTTATCGTAAAGCTATAAAATTTGTAGATTTCAAGGCAAACAGCCTCTTTAAATTATACTACACTTACCAACATCCATATAATTCATAATCACTAATTGCTTTTTTTATCAAATAGCGAACCATTTCACCGAGTCGAATAGAAAATCTTGTTAAGGTTATACGAACAGCAGAAGTAAGTAGGTAATACAGTAAGAAGAGCATGGAACAAAACTTTAACATGAATCATTTTTGTCAATGAAAAAAATGGAAAGCATAAATGCGTAAGAATAGCAACAACAAAAGCTATGTATACCTACTTATAACTACGTATCGTCATATATACTTTCTTTCTCGCTTTGTGTGTGTCTTTCTTGGACCTTGACCAACCGTCTCAACTATAGTCAGGGGAAATGGAGCGATATTCTATCTTCTCCCTAGTCTACTTTTCTTCTTTCTACCTTTTCATTTTGACGAAATGACGACATTGAGTGTAAAACTTTAAATAGAGGATATCCCAGGTACGGAGATTGTTTCGTCTCAACATGTCAATTATAGAAAGAACAGACAATTACAGAAAACAGAAAGATATACATATGGGCTGATTGCGGTGGTATTGTGCGGTTTGACTAAAAAAAGTCAACAAAATAAACTTGCTTGGAAATTTTTTTCTTTAGTCCGACTATATACTAGTATCATTAGGGATCACGAAATAAAAAATTTCCCGACTGCCAGTTTCTATCTTTCGGAAAAAAGCCTTTCGTTGGAGAGTCTTTTGTCCAAAACCATTAAATTTTATTTGTGCGTTTTCTCCGTCATCCAGCATAGAATTTCGCTGAAATTTGACTATAGGTAGTCAACCATGCTGATTCCGAGTATCAACATGAGACGGGCTGATAGGCCTCCAGAGACCGGTTTTCTGGAAAACGGGTTTTCCGAAAATTCCAGAAAAATATCAAAACCTTTCTCAATGAGGCATAATTGTAGCCCGCACATTTCTGATTAAAATGAGACATCCCCCAGCTCTACACAACCTTTCGTTGCAAAGTTATAGAATTTACAAGAAAAGCCCTAAATTAATTTCTTCTTATTTCTGTAGCTGTGAGCTGACAATGAACGTTTAGGGCTTCTCTTGTAAATTCTATAACTTTGCAAAGAAAGGTCGTGTAGAGCTGGGAGGGATCGCATTTAAATCAGAAACGTGTGGGCTATAATTATGCCTTATTAAGAAATGTTTTGGTATTTTTCTGTAATTTCTGGGAAACACACAAATAAAATTTAATGGTTTTGGACAAAAGACTCTCCAACGAAAGGCTTTTTTCCGAAAGATAGAAAGTGGCAGTCGGGAAATTTTTTATTTGGTGATCCCTGATGATACTAGTATATAGTCCGACTAAAGAAAAAAATTTCCTAGCAAGTTTATTTTGTTGACTTTTTTTAGTCAAACTGTACAATACCAGCGCAATCAGCCGATATATATAAAAAAGCTTAAAAACCTTCCTTTTCGAAGTTTAACCTCCCATGGAACAAGATCTAGCAGACAGATAGCCCTTTCAGGGATGAATCGAAGTATATATAATAAGTCTAGTTTGAGTGAATTTTTCATAGAGATTTTTTTACCAAAAACTATAAAAGAGCGGAATCAATTACCAAGAGAAGTGATTGCTGCTTTTAGTGCTCGCGCTTTTAAACGTACATTAAAGAAACATCTTGTTTCTTAGAGTAGTTAATAGTACATACTAGGCCCCATTCGATTTTACTGGGTCTTTTGTTCTATTGTTCAAAATTTTTTTTTCTATCTTTTTTTTTACACTGAGGATGACCTAGATAAGTTCTTTGTTGAACTTTTGTCTTTACCCTGTCATTTTATTAACATCATGGACTAAAATAAAACTGATTGATTGATTCAACTAGTTAAGTAGCTTGTGTGAACAAATTACTCGATAGAATTCCTAAAATGTATATAACGGGTATTGCAAAAGTTTTGATATAATTTTGTTTTTGATATAGCGTTGCGATGGAATATCGAGACTTCATCTTTTTGTTGTTAGAAAGAACCAAGTGTTTAGTACAAAAATATACAAAAGTGTTTGATCGGAAATGTTTCCCGATGGCCACAAAAATCTTACGAATGAATCCATTTAAATCGTTCCATGTCAGATCGTTCTTTCAATGAGACCTAGTGGATTATATGTCATCGACTATCCTGATTCAGAATATGACCATGGCAGTTGCCTTTAGGTCTCCAGAGACTACAGATGTGCAGGGCGCCACCTGAAGAGTAGGGCTTCAAAATCACAGGATAGGGCCAGGGCTTCGTCTAAAAAAGATATATCGTTGATATAACGTTGAGGTTGGTCGCTAGCGACAGTTATTTTAAACTCTTTATTTTATCGGATGCAAGACACCCATTTTTGGTGCAATTGACAATATAAAAAACAAATATACTTTTTATAGCAGGGATCTTTTGTTTCAGATCAATATAAAACTTGATTTTCATCGGTTGTTAGAAAACCTAGAAACAGTATTAATGGTAGCTAAATGAACGTTTCTTTCGATCTTTTCTTTCTTTTAAACTTTTTCTTTCTGGGTCATCACATATTTGCATATTGAGAAAAACTAATTAAAATTGATATTAAGATTGATACTACCCAAGAAGAGAAGCAGAAAGAAAGAAAAAGGAAATAGATTTACTACGAAATGATTCCCAACGTCGCTCAAAGAATGTACAACCTACGATGTAAAAATATTAGCGAAAAGTCGATCTCAAAGGAATTATTATCAGTCTAGCAAAAAAAGTCACATGTTTTCAATACACAATGGAGATACTGAACTTGTACAACGGATTGGTTTCCTTGTACAAAGGAAAGCAGATAAACGAAAGTTATCGCTTCCATAAATAAATAACGTGAATCAGAGCGTTCATACGGTTCACTGACTGTAATTAATTGAAAGCATAGTCGACATACACACACTGGCAGATACAAACAAAACGACCTTTTGCCTGGCGAAAATTATAAGAATCAAATCGTATTTTCGTTATTTTTATATAAGAGCGCTGGTAGGTCGACTAGAAAATTATATGAACAGATAGAGAAATTCATTCTGAATATTTTCATTAAAAACTTTGAGAAATGATCTATATTTGGATACATAGTTTTACCATGTATGCTTCAACAGCGATTTGCAAAATCTCTCAATTTGTCCATACGTATCTATCCTACTATCCTGATACTCATTTGTCAATATCAGCAATTCCATTGCATACTAAAAGATCGTCTCAATGAGATATTCATGAGCGTGCCAATAAACTTAACGATTTATTATGTGAATTAAAACAATAAAAATTAAAGGACAAAACTGATTTTGTTATTATCGCTTTTGATATAAAACGGCAACATTTAAATGCAGATGGAATCCATTTGAACTCTACAAGTAATCAAACACTTACGAACACATTTAGAAAATATCTTTCTTCAGTTTTTCATATGTAGCAGTTTGGCGTGTGTGGAAGATCAGGGGCCTGCCCATTAGCATGCCTTAGATGTGTGTGTCTCTGCTAGTTTGTTTGATACTGGTGCACGCATGTCCTCTGCCTCTATACTTCCTTCTCTCTCCACTCTAAATTCACATCTTTTGTGCCTCAACCTTCCCGCCAACTTAAAATCTTAAGCCAACACATACAGAGCCTCTCATTACATCTTGATGCAGTCAAACAGTTTACTTTTGAACATAATCCTGTGATTCTTTCTTTTCAAAAAACGTTTATTTCATCAAACATTTCTGATATCGAGATAAAGATAAACAAAAAAGGTTTTTATATACTTAACTTAGTCTGAGTGCTTTCGCTTCGATAATTGTGTTTATATAAGAAACTACTGGTGGTTTTATTAAAAGAACCAAAAATTACCTTTTAGATTTGTTTTTCTAGTTCGTGTTTTAGTTGTTTTCCTATTCAAACATACTGAATGGTTTCAACAGATGATTAAAATTATAATGACTTTGTTTCTTAGAAAAATGTCATGATTTCTTCTTCAATAGAACTAGTTGTTATTTACACAAATATGATTTTCAAAGAAATGTATTTTTAATTCGATTAAGTTATTAATCGAGGTAAGAAATAATAATAAGTAGAACTACGAAATTTAGCGCGCTTCCGTAAATAAATAA